GCCGTACCCATAGAATCCAGGCCATAAACCACAAAAAAACGTCAGCAACAGTTCGCGATGAGTTCGGCGTTCGCACAATTTCGCGCCCGTTATTTTACTATTCCTACTGTGGCCTATTCCCGGTTGGTTTGTTGCGGAATCAATGTTGAATCTTTGCTCCTGTTTTATTGCAAAAACTAATTAACTGCTTATTAACGATGCTGATTGCTGTTTGTTCTATGTTGCGTGCATTTATTTATATAATGGATTCTGACAGCAGCGAAAGCGATGCACATAGTTCTAGGTTAGGAACTCCGCCACGAAAACCTAGAAAAAGGCACTATGACCAAAAATATTCGAAATTATGGGAGAAAGACAAGGAATTTGCAGGTCGGCTTCAAGAAATTACTAAGGGTGACGGATATTTTTATTGCAAATCATGTAGGTGTGATCTGAAGTGTGCTCTGCATTGTATTGCACGCATTTTTAATCTTAAAAATTTTTCTTAATTTCGGTGGTAGGTCTACCAATTTTGCATTTTACATTCTACCAACATTTGGCACATAATCTACTAATTTTCTAAAATTCGGGTTGGCAGCACTGCCGCAAACGGCTATGGTGGTGTTGCCATCTTATGCAGAAAAAATATAATTAGTTCAGTTATTGATACATATAGTAGCAATAGTATTCAAACAATAGCGGTTAGCATTAAAACATTAATGGGCAAAATAACTTTATTAAATGTTTATTGTCCTCCAAGAAGTGGTCGCTTTCCCATAAATACTTTGAAAAATATTATAACGTCACTACCTTCACCATTACTAGTTATGGGTGACTTTAATGCACACCACACAGCATTTGGTTGTTTGTCGAATAAGCCTCGTGGTAATCAGATTTATGATATGCTTGATGAAACAAATATGTTCCTATTAAACAATGGAGAAGTTACTACTCTAAACCGTCCTTATCAATCTGCTTCCGCGATTGATTTAGCGTTTGTTTCCCCTAATTTAGCTCCGTGCATAGAATGGTCAGTATATACAGGAGATACACTGGGCAGTTATCATTTTCCTACTATTATACACTTGGATGTCACACTTGAAATATTTAATTATGAACGTTCTACTGATAAATTTTTGTATAACAAAGCAGATTGGTCAGGCTATGCATTAAAATCTGAACTACATTTCAATAATTTATTATCAGAGCGCGATCCTTTGATGGCCTACAACAAATTTTGTGAGTTTGTAAATTTATTAAGAGACAGGCGCGGTCCGAAGGGGGGGGGGGCTTCACAGTGGACATGACCCCCCCCCCCCCCCCCAAATCTAAGGTCATTCTTGACATTTGGTACAAAGAAACGTCTTATAGTATAGATAAAGAAAAAAATGCGAAAACCGTAAATTTTGAGTTACATTATATAAATAAAAAATATTTTTGAAAATTCAGGTGTGTACGGAACCCTCGGTGCGCGAGTTCGACTCGCTCTTGGCCGGTTTTTTTTATTAGTGTGAGTAAGTGACCCCCTCCAAAATTTCAGGCTGCGACCGCGCCTGTTAAGAGATGAATTTGTACCCTTGTATAGGAATAAATGTCACGACGTTAAATATCATAAACCTGTTCCATGGTGGAATGAGAATTGTACAAATGCTGTCAAGGAAAGTAAATTAGCATTAAATGTATATAGGAAATACCTAACTATTGAGAATTATTTAATATACAAAAAAGTCGATGCTAGGAAAAAACAAGTAATTAAACAGCAAAAAAAAGAATCTTGGCAAAAAATGTGCTCAACCTTCGATAGAAACACACCTATTAGTCAAATATGGAATATTATCAAAGTATTTAATAGAAAAAAGACTTCAGCAAGGCAACAAGATGATAGTTTTGTAAATGCTTTTTTAAACAGAATCACCTCAAACCAACCCCCTATAAATAACGATACTTTAAATGATGTTTTCAATAACAATGAACTAAATGATCATTTGATAACATCGTTTACTGCTGATGAATTCATATTCTCATTAAATAAAAGAAAAGATAGCACTCCGGGGCTAGACAATATTCCATATGTATTAATAAAACGGCTTCATTCTGCAGCTAAAATGGTTTTGCTACATATATATAACAGTCTATGGCAACAAAACATTATCCCGGAGACTTGGAAAACTATAGCAGTTGTCCCTATTTTAAAACCCGATAAGGACCCATTATTAGCCGAATCCTACAGACCCATATCACTTTCTTCCTGTCTATGTAAATTATTTGAAAATATGTTAAAAACTAGATTAGAGCTCTATGTAGAATCGAGGTCTATCATTCCTTCAAATCAATTTGGGTTCCGTAAAGGACGTAGTACTACAGACAGTTTGGTTAAAATTTGCGGAGATATACAAAATGCCTTTTTTGATAACAGTTACTTAATTTGCACTTTCCTTGACGTTACCGGTGCTTTCGATAATGTAAATTTATCTACGCTAGTCCACATTCTTCATTCTTTTAATATACCAGGGAAAATATGTCAATGGATCTATAATTATTTCAATTCACGTTCTGTTTATGTCAAATATAATAATATTCTACACGGTCCAAAATTGGCACATAAAGGAGTAATGCAAGGTGCCACTTTGTCACCTTTAATGTATTTATTATTTACGTCATTTTTATATAAATATGTGCATTTAAAAAAATTATCAGTTCTTCAATATGCAGATGATATTGTAATTTATACAAAAAATAAAAATTTAACACAAGGTGTAAATTCATTAAACGAAGGACTAGATTCGCTTTGTTCTTTTTATAAAGATATGCTCCACTTAGATATTAACCCACATAAAAGTTCTTCTTTGATTTTTAGTAATAAGATAGATTATAACGATGTTAATATAAATCACACTAATATTATAAAGGCGAAAGTTTGTGAGTATGTGAGTGTGTATGTTTGTTACTTCTTCACGTCTAAACGGCTGGAGCGATTTTAATAAAATTTGGTATGGAGTTAGCTGACACCCTGGATTAACACATAGGCTACTTTTGTCCCGAAAAAATGTTAGGTTTCAGAGGAATTTTCAAGAAACTAAGTTAACGCAGACGAAGTCGCGGGCGACCTCGTATTGTATATGACTCTGTAAATATCAAATTAGTAAATGAAAAAAGATTTTTAGGTGTAATATTTGATTCTAAAATGAATTTTAAGTCTCATGTTGTAAATACTGTACAAAAAATGCAAAAAAGCATAAATATAATGAGATGTCTCGCGAGTGTTGATTGGGGCATGGACCCCAAATTACTGAACAGGATTTTTAAATCCATTGTTAGAAGCCATTACGATTATGGTTTAATAATTTACGGGAAATTTTTAAGCCAACCTTTATTTAGGAAAATAGAAGTAACCCAAAATAAGGGATTAAGAATTATTACTGGAGCAATGTGCTCAACTCCTATAAATTCGCATGAAATAGAGGCTGGTATACCGCCCATTCTTGTTAGACTACGTTACCTTACTGAAAAGTTTTATGTTAAAGTTTTAGCGTCCAAAGAATACTCAAATTTATATAAACACAATAGACTATTGCAAAATGATTATATTTTTGAATTAATTAATATTTGTGAATGTATAGACCATAAAGGCAAATTTAGGCTCATTAGAAGTACAACTTACTACACCTTGCATTCTTTCTGAGAGAATATCAAATAATAATGACTTTTTATATTTTGTTAATACTGAGAAAAAAGAATACCGATGGATCTTAAACGGAAAACAGTACAAAAGCAGCATATTACGACTCTTTGTCAAAATTTGGGCGTTGTTTCACTTTAAACGAAAATTCTTCGATCTTTACTGCGGAAGCATATGCTATATGTGCAGCTTTACAGTATGCCATTGCTTTAGCTGACATCAATATTTTAATAGTGACTGACTCATTAAGTGTTTTAAGTTGCCTAGAAAATATTCATATATCCTATAAAAATAATATATTTATTAATAAAATAAGACAGTACATTTACGATAATCCTGAAAAACAAATTGAGTTCTTATGGGTGCCATCCCATAACGGGATAACAGGGAACGAAACTGTTGACAGATTAATGAAAATTCCAACTCCTGCCTACATTAATCCATAATATGCAATTCCACCTGTTCCAATGACGGATTACCATTCAGTTCTGAAGCATCGCATGTTCAAACATTGGCATGAAGATTGGGAATTTACCAAACAATTCAAGGGAAAGTGGTACGCAAGTATCCAAGAAAAGATTCCAGTAAAGCCCTGGTACTTCAGTCTTCAATCTTCAAATAGAAGATCCATAACTATTATTAACAGGCTCAGATTAGGTCACGGAAGATTCGGTGCACACTTAGGGTGCGGCCAGAGTGCACTCAGATTCAGATTCTGAAAACAAGCGCGAGAAATAAACAGTGTAGTCGAAGGGTACGGCCAGAGTCCACTCCTGATTCAGATTCAGATTCAGACTCAGAAAACAAATCGCGAGAAAAAGCAGGCAACCTGCTTAGACTACACTGTTTATTTCTCGCGCTTGTTTTCGAAAACTGAATCTGAATCTGAGTGCACTCTGGCCGCACCCTTACACAGATTAAAATTAAAATCTTCAGGAACTTGAGAATATTGCCAAAATGATGAAGCTACACTAGATCACCTTATTTTACATTGTCCCGCCTTCAACATATCAAGAATTACTTTAGTAGATGGCCTACTGAAGATATTTAAAGATGATGACATTCCCCGTCTCTTGCCATCTATTCTCAAGAATTTTGAAACATATAAAGTTTTATATGACTTCATTTCCGCTACGTTTATGCACTTGTAAAAGAAAAAAGATACCCTTGAATAACAAAGATAAATATGAAATGAACTCATAATAATGAAGAATTGGCTGTATGGATTTCATCCAAGGCCGTTAAACTATTAAAAAAAAAAAGAGGACTTGCTCACTAATCGGAGCCGAAAAACGGAATTTCAATTCTAGACTTACAAACAAAATATAATAATTGCACAGTTTTTAATAAAAATATATCTATATTACAAATTCAATTAAGAATTTACTTAAAGGACATAGCAGTTTGTCGAAAATGAAATATTTTGTAGCTCATATTATATTACAAATTGTACTTCATTACTGTGTGAGTAGACCTCTTTTTCTTTTTATTTTATATCATATTTCTATCCACTTGAATTTGCACAAAAAATTATGATACAATGGTGTGTAAATAAACTCAGGTTTAATGCCCTTGCTACAATTTTTGATCAAAATCCTCTCAAATGCGATAACACACAAATTTACTGTGTCGTTATATTTTTTTTCTTGTTTTCTAAATAAGTAATCAGAGCAATTTTGAAACTATATTTCCTTAGAAATTTACTTAGTTTATATTTTTTGCGTTGAACAGGTATTTAATTATAGTTATTAAAACTCCTTAATATTTTCAATGTGTTTTTCCTAATTAGGTGGCTATTGATTATGATGGTTGGTTGGATATCAAAATAGAACACTCGCTGAATTGCAATACAGAAACATTCTGCAGTCGTGGAAATATTTCCTTGAAAAGTATCAGATCAGGTACTCCTGTAGTAGATCAAATATTATTCACTAAACATCATATTGAAGAAATAAAAGTAAGTGTATTTGAGCATTTTATGCCTTTTTAGTTTTTATTACCAAGAATGTTGAAGATAACTTTCAGGCACATGTTATAGTACACATGGTGTTTGTTTATTAAATGACATGAAAGTATAGATTGCAGGTAGGGTTGGTTTAATGTGTCTATACTTAGTCAAGTAATGTTCCTCAGATTTATAAAACTTCAGAATATAAAAATAAAACCTTGAAAAAACACCAAATGGTTAGAAATAAAACATTTCTTTAACTAATGTCTACAGTACATTTAAAGTGGAATTAACATGCGTTATTGGAGCCATGCTAAACCAAGCATAAATATAATCGGTAACTTAGATATGTTAACATGCATGGGTGCCATGCTTCAAATTTTAAGTTGTCTTTAAATTATTATTCCCACCAATGCATTGTGAGTGCGGGCTAGTTTGCAGCACCCAAGGCTTCCAACTGGCTGCCCACCCGGAGTAAAAAGGGCACCACCCATCTCAGGAGGCTGCGACCGTCTTGCTACCAGGGGCAGGGTCTTGGGGAAATAGTTTGTGGAGTCCTCAGGGCCGGAGCCTCTGGAGAGAGAATATGTCTGTGTGAACCAGGTCACTCAGGCACATCCCTAGTCGCTCCCCATTGCCTGCGGGTCTCCTCCAGCCGCAGGCAACGGAAGACTCTGCTTAGACCTAGAGATCACTCCAGTTTTGGTGAGACCACACTCCAGAGCCTCCAGCGTCAATTTGAACGCGACCGCCGCAGTGTTGGAGTGCCTTCAGTTTAAGTCCCTTGGCTGATGGAGCTGTGTCTTCTTCTTAGAATTTTCCTTTGCCTTGCCCCTGGTAGCAATAGGGTCGCAACTCCTGCTCCCCCTAACGGCGCAGTACATTACGCCACCTTGTGTCCCGCAACCTCGCATCGAAAGTATCGGCTTCTATCCGTCTCTGACGGACACTTTATATGGACGTTTCTTCTGCCCATGCATTTATAGCAACGCATAGGGAGGCATCTTGGCAGGGCACTATCTCACTTCTAACTCTCTAATCTGGGCTAACGGCCCTCACTGGGCCACTGCATACATAGTGACATATTGGCCACCGGTCCGAGGCGTATATCTCTTACTGTCACCTTATTTTGAGAGCAGCCCCCCCAACGCTGCCGCTGCTGCTGCGACTTCGACCTTGGACACCGTTTCATCCAGGTCCAGGATACATTTCTACCAACTTTTCCGGCCTAGTGGTCCTGACCAGTAAGCCTATTCACTAACTGATACTTGTTCTGAAAAGCATCAATTGATATGCAATTTCCTCTTTAGTTACACACTGTAAATGACAAAAAAGTTAGCGATTAGGCCAGCTGTTTGCCTTGAAAAAGGCTACTAATAGTTCAAGCCTTTCAAATCATCGGCAGGCTCCGATGTCATCGTGGTATCGTCGTGGTGTTTCAATGTTTCCATTTGCGTCCTCAACTCCTTATTTTCTTCATGATATCTCTCCTATTCTTTGATAGCTACTTTATGCTCCATCCACCTCTGAAGCGTAGTACGCCCAACTAGCTTTTTCAGGACAGCATACTGCTCCCCACGACCGGCGCCACATGGATGATTCGATATAAAAGTTTTGTTGTCAAAAGATACAAGAGTCCTTTCTAGTGGCATGCAGGAGATAATACAAGATATCCAGAGATGGCTAGGATGTGTAAATGGCAAAGTGCAGCTGTTTTTTGTGAATAAAAAAAGGATGTAATAGCTTTTTTTTGTTACTTTTAGATTTATCTTATCATGACAATGGTGTTGATTCTGGCACAATTCTCTAAACCTAAACTTAAATTTGAAAAGGACAGAAAGATTATAAATTTAGTTTTAAGTTTAGAGAATCACGCCAGAATTGACACCATTATCAAGGATAAAAAATATTATTATAAGTTACTTATTTTTAGATCATCCTGTTTTAAAAAATAATAATCTATTTTCCAGGAACTAGCTAGCATAGATGGATTTTACTCTATAAGAACCTTGTGCTCATCGCCTGATAACAAAGAAATGGAATTTCTATCATCCCTAAAAGCAAAGGCCTTTCTGGATAGTGGTCTTTCAGATGTCATCAATGTTTGGGTGCTACCAAATGGAGCTGTGATGGCAGTTAATTTCCAAGTTGACAACTCCTCTCAAGCCTTGTCCCTAAGCAATAACAAAATACACTCCAAGTTCTATCTTCGCTATGTGGAGCAAGCTCCTGTGTAAGGAAATGCTTTTAAAAAATTTATTTTTACATAATTAGATTTTAGTGCAGGTACTTACCTATGCTTGTTTTTTTTTATTCTAGACCTGACACTGCATCTTATATACAAAAACTAGAAAGAGAAAGAGAAGCAAGAGAAAAGGGAGAAGTAAAAGATAATAGATCATTTTTAGCCAAATATGTAAGTAAATAAATACACACTTTATAATATGGGAATGTTCCACAAAAAGGCGGCAATTCTTTTCATGAAAAAAATTTTACTAATTTTTTTTTTATGTTAGTATGATTGAGCTCTTGAATATTTCAGTCTATTTGAACAATATTCGATTAGAAATTTAAGTTGAGTTTCTTTTACGTTATCGTAATAATGCCGCTGCAAGAATTAAATAATTGATGGTTTGATTGCTTGTTTATGTTAAAAGGGTGGGTGGCAAACAAGTACCCGCCTGACTAAGCAGCACCATAGCCTAAAGACGCTTGCGATATCAAAAATATTACTCGCGCCGTTGCCTACCCTGACCTAATACCTTACCCCGTGGAATTCAAAACCGCTTTGAAGCCCTTGAAATCAGCGTTGATGTGGACGGTCTAAACAAAATGGTGGTATATACTGTCCGTACGGTAGGGTTAGTTAGCGGGCTCCAGACATCCCTGCCGCAGGATCAATCTTGGGGGCACGACGGTCGAGGCAATATCTAGCTTGTGTCTACACACATGCCTGTTATTCAGTGTTCGGGTATAAGTTGATAATAGCCCCAGCATTATCAAAAGATCGGTAGATTTTAAGGCCTTATCTACCGATCTCTTGATAAATGGTGCTCTTCCTATGGTGTTAGCGCAAAAAAAGAAATACTGGATTAAAAATTGGCAACAGAAAGAAATGTATAAATAAATAATATTTGTGGTTTTTACCCCACATGTGGGGCTGGTCTTTATATACTGCTATCACTCGAGACCTAGCTTCATGCTCATAGTGATCTGCCGCCATCTTGATCGAAATACGTGCGCTCCAACTGTGTGACAGTTACCAACCAACCGATTGAGAAATTGCCCCGAAAAGGCTTTAGTACCATAGACCACATTCAAACGCTGCGGCAGGTTATACAGAAGACCGAAGAGTATAATCTACCATTTTGTGTGGCGTTCGTGGACTTCGATTCGATTGAGGCCAGGAGGCCAATAGCCTAACGGAATTGCTACGGCTATCGCTATCGCTAATGAGTTTATTTTATTATTTCTGAACGCCGCAGATTTTGAAATGCCTGGCGCTCGATTTTTCTTTTGCATTGCTTAATAACAATATTTAAAATAACGAGCGTGAGATATTTGAAAACTTTCGGCGGACAGATATAATTTTGTTATATCTGTCCGCCTATTTGAAATCGTAATCAATCAATCACCCGGGGTATCGCGGGTGATCCCGCAGACGTGTGCAGGACTGCCCGCGCTGAGAGCTAAGTGCGCGGCCTATTGCCCATCGCACCGCTCTCCGTCCGCTGCGGAAGGATTGCCTACGCGTTCCCCTCGCAGGCCCTTCCGCGGCCCTCTCATGTAGGACGAATGAAATCACGTAATCCGTCAGTGACCGGCATGGCTAACGCCTTACCGGGCAGCGAGGGATTCACTCAGGTTGGGGGGTCACGCCATCGCCTTCCCCTTCCTGTCCTTCTACGGCGGCAGGGAGCGCCCAAAAGATTATCCTCCCGTTCCCTCTCGGCTGCCTCCTTCTGTGCGATGATGCCCTCGCAGAATGAGGCTGCTGCCCCCCAAGCCGTCCCGCTGCTGAGCATGGCCTCGACCATGCTCCGCAGCGAGAGGGTCCCGCATCCTAGCGCCGCTATTAACTCGAGGCGCTGTCGTTGCCAGGCCTACTGCAAGCTGTGTTCGGCCGTATCGTCGGAAGCATTGCAGTGGTGGCACCGCGGCGTCTCCTCCCGACGGGCGACCCTGTGCAGATAGTGACCGAAACACCCATGTCCGGTCAGGATCTGCACCATGCGGAAGGTGAGACCACCGCGCCGGCGTCCCACCCACTCCTCCAATACCGGTCGAAGGGCCTCTATGGTCCAGTGGCCAGCATCAGTATGCATGAGTGCCTCGTCCCATCGGCGCAGAGCTTCTCTCTGCGCGATGGAACGGACCCGCCGCAGTTCCGCTGCAGCTAGTCGCTCGCCTCGCTGTCTGGCTTCGACCCGACCTCGACGCACGTCTGCCAAAACTTGTGCATCGAGATCCCACGGCGTTACACCTGCGAGTACGCAGGCCGCGCCGTGGCTGACCGTGCGATATGCTCGCACGGCCCGGGTTGCGATGACCATTTGCGCACGCCGCAGCAGGGCTACTGTGCGGGGCTTGAGACACCCAGCCCAAACGGGGGCACCGTATAGTGCCATCGACCGTATCACACCGTGATACAGCCGACGGCACGTCGCCCCTAGGCCCCACATTGGGAAGGACCCTTCCAAGCCCTTTGAAGCCGAGGTACTTTAAGCTTCCCTCGACTGACTGACGAGGGCCACATCTAGGCCCAAAAGGCGGATACGTCGGACGACCAATGATGTGCCGACCGACGCAAGATGGGCCGCCTCCTGCACCGTCTTCACATTCGCCGTAACTAGCGTGTCGTCGGCGAAGCAGACAACTTCTATGCCTGGCAGGTGGCTGCCTCGCAGGACCCAATTGTATCCCAAGTTCCAAAGCAATGGGCCCAGCACTGATCCTTGGGGTACACCTGCCGCCATGGCCCGGGAGTGGATTCGCCCGTCGGGCCCCTCGTAGAGGATTGTCCTGCCCTGCAGGGCTACCGTGTCCATTCTGGACCGACCGGATCGGAAGCCAAACTGGTTGTCTGCCAGGTTCGGCCCTGGGCCCTCCAGATGCTCGACTATCCGGTGTGCCAGGATCTTCTCTAAGAATAGGCAATTGACCCCCTGGGCGGTGTACAGTCTCTCCAAAGGTGCCAAGTAGGCTACAGGTAAATCGAGGTATTAAGGTACCTTTACGAAAACGCCACTATGTCAGTCTGATTACAGAATCAGAGCTCGAATGCTATCTAACTGCATAGAGGAGTGAGTCTGTAAGTTGAGATTTTAGTGTGGTAAGTTGGTTATTACAAAAGAGTACTTTGTCCCTGGCTTACTATTGTCACGTCACACGACTTTCTAAATACCAATTCCGCACGAATTTCATACAACGTTTTCCAACACATTTGCGAGAAAACAGTACCCAATTTAAGTAACGAAGCAAACTTTTTCTAATAAGAAAATAGCGCGCATTGCCAAATGGTGTCACGTGCTGTTGGTGTAAAATTAGAACTACATCTTTCATTTTTTTTTGTATTAAAGTGAGACAAAAGTATATATCAAAAACGCTTCCAAAGAGGTTCGACCTAAATAAAAAAAAACCGTAAAGAATACGTACGGCGTCATCCAACGGAGGGCGCGGTTAAATGTTTTACCGCACGCTCCGTTGGATGGCTCGTAATTTTGAACGTTCAAACAATGCATACAACCTCCATATATCCGTTTTTGAGCAAGTGTGTTCAAAAGGATAATTTTAAGCTCCTGGAGTGAAAAAGATGTGGCATCAACATAAATGGAGAATACTTTACACGCCTTCGTTCCGCCGATGATGTAGTACTTATGGCTGAGATCTTGGAAGATTTGAACACGATGCTTGAAGATCTTAGTAATTCTTTCTGAAGAGTGTCTTTATCGATGACCTCTGTGGCACAAGTGGTATGTACGCCGAGTTTCAAGGTGTCGCCTATTTAGAGGCCCGGGTTCGAATCCCGGAATACGAGATTTTGTACCCGAGTCATGAATGGTTATATGTATGTACCAAGTCTGGCCATTAATACTGTTACCGAAAAGAAACTTAATATTTTATTTGAATTTTAAATCTGTCGTCTTAGATGAATATTCATGGATTTCTCGTTTTTGAGAAAGAGAACCGAATTACTTTGATAGCATTACTCGGTAACATCTTGTTTATTTTGAAAAAGGTATTTAACGCGGGATTCTATTTAGAGTCTGTTGTCAGTATCCAGAACTAGAATCTTTTTAAATTCAATACATAATTTAAACTTTAATAACCGACTTTTCCTAGAACATAGCAGCATGTGTCAGAGCTCACTAACAGCCCATATTAAAAATCTTGTATATTGCAAGATTTTGTCACGATCGACCCGCCCACATCGCTGCTTGATTTATTTCTGTGCCTACTGTTCTTAAATGTATTAAGTACCTACATTTTATTTACAAGTTGCACATCAGCTTTCTTCTCCACACTAAAATTGTGTGAGCTCAGTCTTTTATTTGCAAAGAATTCTATAGTTACTTAAATAAAACAATGCTTGTTTTGTTTCAGTGGATGTATATAGTTCCAGTTGCGATCTTTGTGATGATATCAGGTGCAACTAACCCAGAGCCTGCAGCTCAAGCTGCACGTTAAAATACTAGTATATGTATACCATTATACCAGCAGATAACAAGGATAGAGCTTGTATATTAGCATTGGTGACACTGAATATTTATTATTAAATAGTGAAATGAAATGAAATGAAAAATCTTTATTGGCCATCTAGTATAAGAAACAGAGGAAAAAAAAATATAAAAAAGAAACTTAACTTAAGAACAAAAATTAATCATTAGATTTAAAACGGCCAATCAGGACCCTGCCTCAGCTTATGCTGATACAATGAGAAAATATTCTCTCACTGTATCAGCGCTGGTATTCTGGCAGGGCCTGTTTGAGGACGTGTTAGGCGCTATAGTAAACAAAATAACAGGTATATTTGGTATCGATTCTGGCGTGACTCTCCGAACCCAAAACCAAATTCAACACCAGTCCCTCCCCTTCATTCTGTGTAAAGAATGACAGGAATTCACCGCTGTCAAACCCAAGCCTAGCCTTAGAGAATCACGCCATAATCGACATCATTATAAAAGAATACTTAATAATAAAAATAAAATAAGAACGAAAAAAAAAGAAGGACATTTCGACATTTACATTTTGCATAATTATAAAATTACATCATAAGCACACATCAGTCAATTGCACATTAACTCTATATACATACATGCACGCACATCCATAGATACGCATATATATTCATACACAACACGTACACATACATACACACACACAGATATATATAGTAACATAATATTCCTAAATAAAAATAAAATAAAAATACATTTACATATATAATACTAGCTTTGACGAAGGAGCCGATTTTTAAGACCGGCACGTAAACTAGGAACGCAGACCAGCAACCGAACGCACTCCAACGTTCCGAACGCACCCCCGCTCACAGACAACGCTGTCATTATGACATCCCTCCAATCTGTGGTGCATTTTGTACTTTGTACCTTTGTACGATCTAATGGAATGGATGGATGCCACGTACCTATTGCCACGTTGGAGAGCAATAAAAGCATCTCATTACCCCCAAGGAATCCAACAAAACGGTCCAAACTTAACAGCAAGCCACAACGTGCCGGACACCTATCTCCCAAGCCTTGCATGCACGACGTGCAAGTTCCGATGGTGAGTTTACTTGATCCTGTTAATATTGAGTTGAGTAGTTATGAGATATTTTTTAGATGTTTTTTAAAAGTGCCAATTGTTTTCAGGTCACGCAGCGGCGGAGGGAGATCATTCCAGCACCGTGTGGCAGCGAACTTGAAGGATCCACGAAACGATCTTGTGCGATGCACGGTTATCTTAAAAATCGGCCTACAAGCTCTTATCATATAGGCACTGTGATCTTGGGCCCACGTAAGTTTATTGTATAGGTAAATTGGCTTACCGGATTTGATTATACCAAATAGCAGATTGGACAGATGAAACTTTCTGCGTGCCTCCATTTTCAGTGTATTAGAGTTATTAAGAAATGGAGTCACGTGACTTCGCGGGGGTATAAAGAAGCAAAAGCGTGCGCAGGCGTTCTGTACACGCTGAACTAATTTAGCCGTTCTTGCCAGAATACAGGGGCCGTATACTATGTCACAGAAATTAAGCTTGGATAGTATCAGTGATTCACAAAGATTGATTTGAAGTTGTTCATGTAAATATGGTCTTATTTTGTATAATAACCTGATTCGATAGAAGCAGCTACACACACATTCAGTGATATGGCTCTCGAAATTAAGCTGGCAATCCATAATCAGCCCCAAATTCCTACTTTCATCAACTCTATCTATAACTTCATTATTGACAATTATGTTTAATGGCACATTTTGGAGTTTTTGGACTTTCCTTTTGGTACCCAGTACCATGAATTTAGACTTTTTGGGGTTTAGGACAAGGCAATTAGACTCGCACCAATTAGCCAGTTTGGCTAGGTCTTCATTTATCATGCCCACTGCAACATCAATATTCTCAGGAGGACAGGAGACGTATAGCTGTAAGTCATCTGCATAAATGTGGAATTTGCAATTTGTTATGATGTGAGTTAGGTCAGCGCTATAGAGTATATACAGAGTGGGGCCTAACATAGAGCCCTGCGGTACTCCACGCTTGACAGGAAGTGGTGACGAGCAAGATCTGTTTCCGGATGCATTGACAAGCTCCACATATTGTTGTCTATGTGTCAAATAACTATTAAACCATTTTACAGTTGCTGCGTCTGCTCCATAAAATGATAGTTTTGACAGCAGCAGGGCGGTATTTATGGTTTCAAACGCCCGTGAAAAATCCAGAAGTACGAGTATGGTGACACATCCCTGATCCTGATCAGAGAGAATATTGTCAACCACATCGGCCAGTGCAGTTGCCGCACCATGACCTTTACGGAAACCAGACTGGTAGGAAGGAATAATGTCATTGTCTTCGAGGTGCTGCGTAAGTTGGTTACAGACTACCCTTTCCAACACCTTAGATAGACAAGGCAAGAGGCAAATTAGTCGCAGGTCTTGGAGACTTGTTGGTTGATTGACCTTAGGTAGCGGCTTCACCACTGCAGTTTTCCAGGTGTAAGGAAATGTGCTTTCAGTTATTGACCTGTTGATGATGGTAGTAATTGCACCCAATGTATGAGGAAGAGTCAATAATAGCATATCCGATGAAATACCATCATGGCCTTGTGCATTGGACCGAAGCCCCTTGATAATTTTCATTATTGAGTCCTCATCAACAGGTCTTAGTGACAATGTAGCTGCAGAATGCCTATGGTATTCAAAGTATGTCAACTGAGACACTGACACCACATCCTGACCAGGTGTATTGAGAAAGTGCCCATTGATTGTGTCTGTGTTGTCAAAAGATGAGGGAAGTTCAGCTGTCCCTTTATCATTGGACAACACCGTTCCCTTTAAATTGTGCCATAGCTGTTTTAGGTTCTTAAGGTGAATGTTAATGTGTTTGTTAAAGTAGCATTTCTTTTCCTGTTCAATAGCCTGAACTACCAGGCGCTTCATGTTCAGATAACTGTCCCTGTGTGCATTGGTCTTATTAGCCTTATAAGTTAGTAGACATTTGTCTCTGATGTGCATCATAGATTTGACAGTATCCGTGATCCATGGATGAGGAGGATGCCTGAACCTTTGTCTCTTGATCGGAGCATGCAGATCGAACAAGCCAGTCAAGCAGAGTGTAAAGTTTTCCACCAAGGTGTTGATATTATTTGCATTTTCAAAACAACTCTAGTCAATGGTTTCACCTTTCCAACGGTCCCGAAGTATGTCTCTTAAAGGTCGGTACTGCACCCAACGTGGCTGTGATTTTTCTTTTTTTTATCTTAAACTCGGCTGACACCATGGCATGGTGTCCAAGATCAGGGTACTGTTTAACTATGATTTTTAAAGTCCGAATGTCAGTGCATACCACGTCAATCAATGTATTGCTGTGGTCAGTGAAGTGTGTAGGTTCCGATACCACCTGCCGCAAGTTCATGGTTTCCACAAATTGAACCAATGTCCGCGATCTGCTGCTGCCACTAGCGAGTAAATCAATATTAAAGTCTCCCAGTAGTATCAGCCCATCACGTTTGGTAAAGGAAGCGATGGAGTCTGTAATAGCATCAAAAAATACTTCAACATCCAACCATGGCGGACGGTATGCAATCCTTATTAAGATGTTTTGGTTTTGAATGCGAACATTCATCCACATTTGCAACAGGATTAAGGCAGGTACGTGCATTTATGCCCTTACGCACATAAAATCCAACTCCACCACCACGACCACCTCGTAAGTGTTCTGGACGAGGGATATGTCGCAAACGATGGCTAGAAAGCTTAGGTGCTTTGTCTTCCTCACCCTTTCTTAACCAAGTCTCATTAATTGCCATGATATCAGGGTCCAACTCCTCCATTGCCACTATAAACTCCTCGTGCCCCGTAGTGAGAGACCTAGCAAAAAAAATAGTCTGATCAAAACAGATATTATCATTTTCAAAAATCCTCTAAAACTGTACTCTTGCTCTGGTACAAGGCCTTCACTAATATCGGGACTCTTGAATCCCGACCCGACTCTCCCGAATAAGGTAGAAATTAAATATTTGCCTCCAGTGGCAATCCCCGCCGTGGAACTGGGAATAGTTGGTGCAACCACACGGGCCAGCGAAAATGGAGGACGATAAGGCGCTCTGCAGACGACGGGGCGGGGCGGGCTTTTTGTCCGCGAAGCAATAAAAACCGCGACTGCCCGTCGATGTCTGCGGCTGTCCTCGCCGCGTACACAAAGCACACGACGGGCAGTCAGTTCAGGACGTTCGTTCTAGTGAATAGTCCATCACTAAAAAGCGCGTGGCGCGGACTGAGCTAGCCGCCCCGCGCCGCCGTCTGCGTTACTGCATATAAACTGGTTTGTATGATCCACGGCGGGCAGCCGCAGTCTTTTTGCCCTCTGTGTGCGTTTGTAGTATAGGATTCACTTTGTGCTATCGTTCGCGACGAAATTGACCGGCCCGCTCCGCCCCGCCGTCTGCAAAGCGTCTAATAGTATGTTACCACTTTTCAATCTGAACTCTTGACTCGACGCGCGACTAACTCACTTGACTTATCTATTATTGTCGCTTGTCATCTGAACTCCTTTGACGCGCGACCATCTGAACAGTGCCTGCATGAAGCGCAGGGATCAACCTACTAGATAGTGGTTATCGTAGCTAGAATAGTATTTCCACCTTTTATGTCGTAGCTGAGATCCACAGACAAACCAAGATTTGTGTCTATCATATGGATATAATGCGATTCAACTAAGAATAGGACCGACTGGGCGCCATATTGTGATGTCATAGCTGTCAATTCAAACCAAATAGGTAGAGTGAGCAAAAAAGTTTTAATTTAATAAAACTTATTTACTAAGATTAAGTGAGAAAAAGCATCAGATTTTTTTAATAACATTTATTTACTAAGATTGAGAAAAGAAAACCACCGATTTTTAATAAAATTTATTTATTAAGACTGAGAAAAAACATTAATCAGAATCTAGCTCTTCTATTCCGCTCATCTCTGCATTACCGCCGGAGTAGTTACAAATAATCATGCACTATTACTAGGTCACATGCATCCTTTATGTAAACGAAAGTTTGAAATCGAGTTTCCGAACGCAACTTAAAGTGACATTTGATTGACGATTTAGGTTATCAACCATTCATG